CACCTCTTTTAAGGAAATGTAAAAAGCAGAAGAAAGGCAACCCAGAGTACTCTGTGGTTGCTTTGAACTTCAATTCCCATCAGATCCAGCCAGCAGAGTCATATTGGCAAGATTTGTGGGAGCCATAATCCAAAACATCTGGAGGGCACAAAGTGGCCTGTTCCTTCTACAAAATATCTTCAGACGGTTTGCCAACTCTTTGTTTTTTCCTCCTACAGACGGACCTTCTCTCTTAAGCCTCAACTGCTGTATTGCTTTGTTTAGAATTATCATATCTGGGCTGTAAAAAAAATAAAATAAAAACCCGGGGAACCGCTAAATGGCAACAAAGGGTGAGAGACAATGAAGACAGCTGATAGGTTGAACCTCTAAAGGAACAGGCAGACAGCTGCACTTAAATGTACTCTGCTTGTCTTTCTGATGACAGAAAAGAATAACAGCATCAAATTGGTTCCTCTGACTGCTGAGCCTGAATCTGCTGTGGTTACAAGGGTGGCAACTGTTGCTTCCCTTATGGTATTAATAAGACAACTTTCCTTTCGAGCAGCAGGAAAACAACCCTTAATCACTTTTCCTAATATGGGACAGAGTGGATGTGGGCAAGTATGGGGTGCATGGTCTGGAATGGTATGCTCAGCCACCTGTCAGATTGCCCAGCAGGTACAGGGTGGGGGGAGGGGTGTCTGCCTGGCTATTTCTGGAAAAACAAATTCCTAGACAAGTGTTGAGAAACTGGCCCAGAAAAAGATTACAGGATGGAGCAGGAGGGAATGACTGACAAGCTAACTCCATCCTCAACTTATAGAAACGGTGGTGTTGGCAATGAGTCCAGTTCTGCCTTTTTGGAAAAGAAAACCTGGATATAGCCTGTGGATGCGCTTAGATCAGTGGTTCTCAACCTGTGGGTCACAACCCCTTTGGGGGTCGAACGACCCTTTCACAGGCGTCTCCTAAGACTATCGGAAAACACATATTTTCGATGGTCTTAGGAACTGAGCCATAATTTTATGACCGAGCCATAATTTTATGGTTGGGGGGTCACCATAACACGAGGAACTGTATTAAAGGGTTGCGGCATTAGGGAGGTTGAGAACCACTGGCTTAGATCCGGAATGCAGGGAATAAAGTGAGGGAGAATGGGACAACTTGCTACAGCCAACTCACCGTGGCCAACTTGTCAAGCCAACTCGCTGTGGGACAATGTAACAATTCTATTTAATTATTTAAAATGAATTTTTTAAAAAATTCAATTTTTGCCATTCACATTTTATTCTGTTTCTCCTTTTGCATCTTTTCTTTAATGATTCTATTCTGCCATTTCTTTGAAGTTAGTGTAACTCTTGTCCCGCAGTGAGTTATCATGTGGCAGAGATGGCCGTAACGAGTTGTTCTGCAATAAGTTGGCCGTGGCGAATTGTCATAGACCCTAAAGTGATGTCCATCTCCACATCCCCAATAATAAAAACAGCATGAAGCCCAAACACCAAAACCCAAAGTCCCTTCTTCGCACTATCAGAGGAGGACCTATAATGTGCCTGGTTGTGATGGAATCAGCAACATCAAAACTGCACCCTGGTGGTGCAGTGGTAAGAACGCAGCATTGCAGGCTAATTCTGCTGACTGCCAAGCGTTTGATCCTGACCGGCTCAAGGTTGACTCAGTCTTCCATCCTTCTAAGGTTGGTAAAATAAGGACCCAGATTGTTGTTGGGGGCAATAGGCTGACTCTGAAACCACTTAGAGTGGGCTGTAAAAGCACTCTGAAGCAGTATATAAGTCTAAGTGCTCTTGCTATCAAGTGGCAGAATATGGTTCCTTCTTTCTAGTTTAAATAAACCTTCTGGGAAGCACAGAATTAGTGAAAAGTATCGACCCTGTTTTTTTCTTTTTTTAAAACCCAGGTCTAAGTGTCTTTCAAAAGAGCATCAAGTTCCTGTTTGATAGGAGCCACAAATAAGATCTGATAGACACTTTGAAACATGCCAATCAAGCACTCTGGGCAAATGCCCCTCCCAACGTCAAACTTCTTGATTCTTTTTCAGGCCTGGCCAAAATGGCCATGGAGGTCAGTCTCCATCAACTGGATGAGGAAGAGCCTGCAAAGGGAGGCTGTGGGAGGGTTGCCATTCTTGGCACTGCCAACAAACAAAGCAGCCTACACAGGTGAATAGAAGCTGGGCCCATCCCTCTCCATCAGCAACTCTTTCATGGAGGAAGCATGCCAGAGCACATCCATCTCAAAAACTGTGTCAGGAGAAGAGGAAAAACACTACTTTAAAACTGGAACGGCTAGGCTGGAAATGAGACAAAAACAACTTGATGAGGGAATGCCATAAAAAAAAAAAAAGACCCAGTTACCAGCAGATGTTCATGCCTTGGGTAGGGTGGTATGAGAGTAAACAAACTGAGGTATGCTCTCTATTCTCCACCCAAAAGTATTATTGTACTCTATACCACCTCAGACTATTTGTCCATCAAGCAGCAGTTCTCCAGGATTTCGACCAGATAATCTTTCCCATGACCTCTCTGAGCCTTTTTTTTGAAACTGGAGAGCTCAGGAATTTATACTGGGATTGTCTGCATCCAAACAGCTCTGCCCAAAAGCAGCAGTCCTTCATGTCAGACTTCTAGTCACTTTACCACCCTTCGCAGTTTTGCTTTGACCCTTGGTCAAAGTGCCTATCAATTACCCCAGGCCATGCTCTTTTCTTTCTCTTTTTCAGCCTCATCATGGGTTTGAGATTCCAAATTCCACACCTCTGTCATCTCCCTAACCTCAGCCTAAGCCATGCAGTAAATTCTGCAATCCCCCAAAAACATGATCACAGAATTGTTCTCAGAATGGTGCTCAGTCAGAAGTAAACCAGAAGGACCAACTAAAGGGCTGGATAGAGAGCCGTGGGGATGTTGAAGAGGTTTGGAAAGGAGGATGGGTAGGATGGCTGTACCTCACTTCATCCAAGAAATAGAGCTGTTGCTTTCTCCAGTGTGGAGCAATATAGCCAAGGTCAGAGTTTCTCCAATGGCAAGACAAAACTCATCTTTGATCATGTGAATCCACCGACTGAACAACATTCATTAAAAATAACCTGCAAGGTTCTTGGTTTCTCCTTACCTTACACATAGCATATTCCATGTCTGCAGACTCAAAGCAAGAAAAATCCAACCTTAAGTAGCATCCTACAAGTAGGAGTTTCAGGGCATTCTGTACTTTGTGGCAAGAGGTTCCACTGGGTAATGGCAAATACTGAGTAGTGTTGTCAAGCTCAAATGGGTTGGGGACCCTCAACAAGCCCTCCCTAGAAGAATGTGTGGGACGTGCCAAATGAAATAGCTGAGATGATCCTGCAGGTACATGTAACCCAAACTATGTGGGCATTAAAGATAACCAGCACTTTGAATTAGGCCCAGGAACAAATCAATAACCTATACTGTAACTATAGCACCAGTCTTACCTGACTCTATCTTCTATCAATGCCTAGTAGAAGAGCCACTGCACTTAGAGTCAATTAAAGTACATGATTTGTTTTCAGAGGCAGTCCAGAAAAAATAACTTTGAGGAACAGGCGGAAGAGCCACAACCAAAACAACAATCCGATAAAAGAAATCTGATTCCGGCACAGAAAAATTGAAAAAAATGTCTCTGAGAAGATCCTCTCCAGTTCTCACAAAGAGAAAGGGAGGGTGGAGATCAGTATATTTAGTCTTGCAACATTTTGTTAACCTTTTACTGTAATAAAAATAATATTAGCATTCATAATTTTGGTCCTAGTTGACATCCTATTACTCAAATATGTTGGAGGGAGAAAAGTGTACTACATACACTGTTTTGAACTTCCATACAAAAGTCGGGATATAAAATCACACAAATAAATCCAATTAGTAATCAAATCACCAGCCTACGATGGGCAAAGCCTACTCAGACATTTCCTCTAACAGGAATCATAAGTCTAGGAGGAACCCAAATTGTGGATCTACTCCTTTGCGAGGAGTGGGGCGTGTGATCCCATTTGGCAAATAACAAGGAGCAGTATCCATCTTACAGTATTTCATCCGAGCTTGCTTTGACTGCTCCACGCACTGAGTCAAGATTTTTTTTTTTAACCTAGCCACAATACTCAAGGTGGAATTTGACTGAAGCAGAATCAGGTAGAACTGTTCTCATGATTTAAAAAAAAACATTGCTTTTGCTGATTAAGCATAGTTACTTTAACAATCATTGAAGCCAATTACATCTGAATGGCTGAGTTAACACGATTTACAGTTTGCTTAATTAGATTAACCATTTTGGGGGATTTGCACATTACAAAAAAATCACTAACTATAAAAGCGGGGTTTACACATCACAAAATCTAATCAGGATAAGATTAACCATGCTGAGGATGCTTTAGGAATACAGCGTTTAGATATGTAAGAGCTCTGGTTAAGCATACCATGTGAACACAACTGATGAGTGTTTGCTTAGAAATTGCCTCAGGTTCCATCATGCAAAAATAGTGAGGGATACCTAAAATAAACAGTCTCTGGTGATCATTTTAAACTTACCTCTCCCACACTGCTGGAGAGGAAAGAGAAAGAGAACAACAAACACAAATTAAGTGAAACCTGTAATTGGGAAACTGATAGTAATTACTAATTGTCCAGAAGGCATAGCAAGTATCCCAAATGGCATAAGAGCATTGCAGTGTCTGGGTTTAGACTCTACATTCATTTTACCAAAACTGTTCAGAATTATTTGAAATACTTCCAAGTTATTAACTACTTGGAAATATTTCACCTCTTCTATTATATTTTAATCAGATATTGTTTTTTTATAGAAAGAGTTGATAATGGGGGAAGGTTTATGTTGCAACCTCAATGCCACTGACAGAGCAAGGAGCAAAGATACTTAACTAATCTACTCTTTGTGCTAGTTTTAAAAATACGAATCAAATTATTATTATTATTATTATTATTATTATTATTATTATTATTATTATTATTATTATTATTATTTGGGGGGGAAATCCCAACAGCTTTATTGAAACAAAGTGCAGTGAAGCTTACTTCAATTGTTGTAAGCAAGCAGAAAGTTTAAAAACCACCCCTCAGACGCAGGACCAGGTGGAGGGTGGACTCCTTCTGGATGTTGTAGTCAGACAAGGTGCGGCCATCTTCTAGCTGTTTGCCAGCAAAGATCAGCCTCTGTTGGTCAGGAGGAATGCCTTCCTTGTCCTGGATCTTTGCCTTCACATTCTCGATGGTGTCACTGGGCTCCACCTCAAGAGTTATGGTTTTTCCAGTCAAGGTCTTCACAAAGATCTTCATGCCACCCCTCAGACGCAGGACAAGATGGAGGGTGGACTCCTTCTGAATGTTGTAGTCAGATAGAGTGCGGCCATCTTCTAGCTGTT